ACTGCGTGAAGCGCCGCTTCTTCGGCGTCTGTGAGGCGGTCGAGTCTGGAACAGACGCATCCACGACCTGTGTTGGTGCTGTCTCGCCCGGTTCAGCGATGCTTGGGTGGTGCGATCCATCGCACACCTCGTTCTGTCCGTCGTGGTCTTCATCTTCTTGGCGTGGCGAGCGAACCCACACCTCGACCCCATCGGAATGCTCGTCGTCGTCCAGTCCATCTTGACGATACCAATTGTCGCCTCCCTAGTAGTCACCACCGCCATCTTGCTGGTCGCCGGCGTGCTCGTGGGAACGATGTACCCTGCGCAAAAACTCCATACCTGTGATGGGGCGAGAGCTTCATGACGGGCCGGGATCAGGATCAGGCGCAGCAGAGTCAGCGTGGTCTGCGTCGTTAGCCATCTGTGGCAAGGCTGCAGGAGAAGGGTGGCTTGAGGCGTGGTAGTGATGCTGGGTACCTCAAGCTTGATCACGGATTGTGGAAATGGATGGAGAAACACAGGTTCACCCCCCGGTGAGCCAGCCGAGCACTAGCAGGGCTTGGCCGCGTCGCCCACGTTTACACCTTCCGTGCGCTGTATCATTCCTTGATCCTAACTGAAGTTCAGATGTGTAACAGTGTGTGCTGGCTGGGAAAACTGCCACTCCAGTAGGCCCTCAGATGTTAGCGTAAAACACGCTGATTACGCTGATTTTGTAGCTCTGAATTTCGTTTTCCCTGGAAAATCAGTAAATGCTTCCATTTTGGGCTGAAATTTCAGTGAATGTGAGTTTGCCACACTGACGGTTTTGTGTGTTTCTGAACGAGTTACACTGAGGAATCAGTATACTTCAGTGCGTCACCCTGAAACGGATTTGACCGGCCGGGGGAAAGGGGGGGGGGGGGGCGACGCGTGTACAGGCTGTTCCTTCGCGTGATTCACGAAACCCCACACACACTTGGAATCTTCTCACATGCGCTGTATTTACAGCTAGTGCGCGCCGAACCGTTTTGCCGCGCTGGAAGCCAGAATACCAGAGAACGGCTAACCTAGTTCACAACTGCCCAATGAGAACACAGACAACACACCACTGGTGGCAGGGTCCACGCCAACACGCCAGGGATGGCAGAGTGGAGTGGGGGTGTTGTCATCTTGCCTGGGAAGACGGAAACCCTGGCCTGGACCAAGATCCCTCGTCATCGCAGCTCGGGAGAGGGGGTACCCCCATCTGCTCTCTCATTCTGTTCCTGCACTCCTCGTGAACCCCTGCAGGAAGTGATGTTCGAGCTGAAGCAGGAGTAGCTTCTCCCTCAAGCTCGGCATGCTCTGCAGCGCTGAGCAGCCATGGCGGTTTCGACGCCCGCAGGTGACGGCCCTCCGCCCGTCGCAGGCACGAGGCCAGCCGCTATTACTGGCTTAGACTTTTAAGACGATGTACCAGTTGGTGACGTCGTTCAAGTTTCATTTTTTTCTGTTCTTCTTGGCAGATGTGCACACGGCACTCAACGCGCTCAACTTGCTATTCCAGAAGCGTTAGGTGAGGTGTTGAGTTACGTAGTGCTTTTCTTATCTTCTAAACCCAGTTACTTATCTTTTGTTTCGGTGTACCTACTCTCCCCCTACCAACAGGTTGACCTCACGGCAGTGCACTCCCAGGTGAGGCGGACCATCATTTACATGGAGCAGCGGTACCTGCACTGTGGCCAGCAGTTTGGCGGTGGGACCAGCGAGCTGCTGTCTGCATTCCTCGCGCGGCACGCCTCCCCGGACTGCCGTGAAGTGACTGTGGAGGGGGTGGATAAGGATGGTGAGGCCCGGTTACACAAGTTCGACCTGCACGAGGAGGCCGTGAAGGGATACACCACTAGCAGCGGGGACATGCAAGGCTGCTACACCTGCTGCCGCTCCTTCGCCCGCGAGCTGGTGTACAACCTCGAGCTGCGCTTGGGAGACCTGACGCGCTTGAACGGGGCGAAGCTCTTCATGCCCCGCTCGTGGCCGAGGGGCGCCGAGGCTAGAGACGCTGAGTGCAAGGAGCACCTGCACGGCCTCGTCCATCTGTTCCAGGCCAAGAAAAGGGACACGATCTTGCCAGGTGAGCTAGAGACGGAACCCCTATGCTCTGCGTGTATGCGTAGCCGTTTCCGTGGTTGCATTATTGCCATGTTGAGAGCTTGACTTTCTACCCGGTTGTGCTCTCCTGTTTGGCAGGTGTCCAGAAGCGTGCAGCTCGAGCGGAGCTGCGCACGTTCCTGCCGGTGCTCTCCACTGCGCCCAAGGAAGAGCAGCCCTTTCACGCAGGCTTGAAGGCCATTTTGCAGACCAGCGACTGGCAAACCAGCTACCCCAACCTAGTCCGTCTGTGGGCTGCCGTCGCTGTACTGCCGCTCAGCACAGTCGAGTGCGAGCGCGGGTTTTCCCGCCAGAATGTGATAAAGTCGTGGCGCCGGACGAGTCTCTGCAACGCCAAGCTGGGAGATTTGATGGCGATGTCGCTGCTCGACTACGACATGGACTGGGACAAGGTGGTGGACATCTGGCGGAGTACCAGGAACAGGCGCCCCAGCAAGCGCAAGGAGCAAGCTGCGCCAGAGAAGGAGCGGGCCAAGGCCAAGTTTGTTAAGGGGAGTGGCCGCCGGTGACAAAATTAGAAGGAAGAAAGAGAATTGAACTAGCAGAAATGGGGATACAAATAGCAAACCCTAGAAGGGTTGTACTCGCTATAAAGCACCCCACTACAGGCTAGAACATAAGATAACATTTTGACACACCCCCATAGCCAAAGTGGGGTGTAATCAGCAGAGCAGGCAAAGCAGTACAAGCTCAGGGTGGATCACAATGTCACCACACAATCTGAGCACAAGTTCAAGAAGAAATAGTTTAGAGTTCACAATTATGAGCAAAGCTAGTGGTAGTCACAACGGGCAAGTGAGGAGGAGGAGAGAGAGTGAGGGGAGAGGAGATAGGAGGCGACGGCTGAAGCTGCAGACACACGGGCAACAGGAGGCAGACTGGCACAGCGGCTACCGGACTAAGCGCCCGGACTACAGGAGTAACAGGCCCCGCGGCTAAAGAAGCGGCAGACGAGCAACGGACCCACGGGCGGCTGGCGTAGAAGTCTAGCTCACTGGGCTACCGGGACAGCGCCCCGGACTACAGGTGCTGCGGACAACAGTACGGCAACCTCCATGCAGCTTCCCCAAACAGTCCCACCCCCCCGACACGCACCCGCTGCTACACCGCTAGCTCCACTCCCACGCACCCCCCTTACACCCTAAACCCCAGTCTCCCACACAACCACCCCCCTCAGCGACAGCTGCAGCAGTGGGAGACGAAGGAGGAGGAGGAGCAAAGGGAAGAAGGCACACCGGCCACCCCCATACCCGACACCCCACCGCTCGCGGCCCCCTCAGGTCGCCTCGACAGGCGACGGGAAAAGGGGGGGGGGGAGGCGGGGACGGGGCCAGGGCCGCGACGGGTAGGGCGACGGGCCGCATGTAGTGCGGCGGTAGGGCCGCAGGTAGGGCGGCTGGTGGGCCGCAGGTAGGGCGGCGAGTGGCCGCAGGTAGGGCGGCTCGCGGGCCGCAGGTAGGGCGGCGGGTGGGCCGCGAAGGTAGGGCGGCGGGTGGGCCGCGAAGGTAGGGCGGCGGGCGGCCGCGTCGGGTCGGGCAGCGGGGCCGCGACGGGTCCCCGTCGCCCGTCGCGGCGCCTCCAGAAGGCGACGCGACGAACGACGGGGCAGACGCCCGCCGCGCGCCTCGGGGCGCACAGCGGGCAGAGAACCGCCGCGCGCCTCGGGGCGCACGGCCGGCAGAAAACCGCCGCGCGCCTCGGGGCGCACGGCGGGCAGAAAACCGCCGCGCGCCTCGGGGCGCACGGCGGGAAGGAAAAGTAGCAGCGGAAGCGAGGTGGTAACCCACCCACAGGATCGATCCAAGGGGATCGACCTGCTCTGATAGCATGACAAAATTAGAAGGAAGAAAGAGAATTGAACTAGCAGAAATGGGGATACAAATAGCAAACCCTAGAAGGGTTGTACTCGCTATAGAGCACCCCACTACAGGCTAGAACATAAGATAACATTCTGACAGCCGGCTGGTGCAGGTGGAGGAGGAGCTAGATGAGGGCATGAGTGGTTCTGCAGGCGATGACAGTGAGAGTGATGATGATGGCAGCAGTAGCAGTAGCATTTCTTCTTCAGATGATGACATGAGCTAGTTCTCTAGTAGTACTAGTTAGGTAGGTTAGGTTAGATATATTTATTTTGGACTTTTTTACACTGAAGGAACAGTACAGTGGAAAATTTTACCCTGACAGGATCAGTATATTGAAAACCACCAACGCTGATTTGGACACCTGGTTGGCAGGGGCACGCTGATCCATCAGCATACCCTCAAACCAATCTGAGGGCCTGCACTCCAGCCAATCAGCTCGCAAAATGCCGCCAACACACGAAGCGAAATCTTGATGAAGTGCTCGGCGACTCGGTTTAACCCCGGTAATTGGGGAAAGGGGGGGGGGGGGGGCGGCTAGGGGGCCTGTATCCTCTGAACAGAGTAAACACCACCCTTAGAAAAAAAACCCTGGGGCCTCAGAGTGAACTATATCTCAACTCTGATACATCAGAGAAAACACAACTCCCAAAATCATAACCCAGCAGGTACAAAGTCCCTCTAAAAAACAACTCTGATTTTCAGAGAAACAGAGTGATTTACTCGGATAACGTGGGCCCTGCTAGCACCTAGGTAGAATAGCAGATTAAGTCTAAAATTGTGTATTGACTTGAAGAATACGTTGAAGCGAATGATGCTATACTTGTTTTGCTTTTGTTGTGGTGCTAAAAAAAAGTGTTAATATTGAGGGTGGCGCTTATAATAAGGAAGGGTACAAAAGGGGTGGCGCTTATAATCGAGGATCGGCCATAAGCGCCATGCTCCAGATAGAAGCGCCGGCGCCTGTAATAGGCCGGCGCCTATATCCGGGGCCATACGGTAAATGGTTATTGCGTCATTGCCCCCCTATACATCAGATTCGTAGTCTGCTGGCTTGAACCAATGGGAGAAGTCAAAGCCATCAGCGATGAGCCCCATGGTGGTCGGGGCGATAGTGGCCAGCATCTGCACGGCATAGAGCAGAACACACACAGAGGGTGGACAACAGGGAGGCACAGGAACAGCCATGTCAACCATCAAGGCAAGGGGACAAGGGGAAGGGAAGCAGAGGTCCATGAGAAGCAGGTGGGGGGCCACAAGTACATACCTGGTCGTGCAGGGGGCCGTTGGTGATGAGCACGGAGCGGTCAAAGACAGAGAAGTCACCCCCGTCCATGCGCGTCACCTGTGCCCCCGCCTCCTCTGCTATCTGCTCTCACCGCACCACGCACACGCACCACTTGTTAGATTTCTGCTATGGTTATGATTTCAATGCAAAGGAGTGATTCTCGGTCTAGAACAGTGAGTTAGAAATAAAGGGGGTTGGTTCGGAGCTTGCGAAGATTTTTGGGCCCACCAATAAGTTGGTTTGGAGGAATCACTGGGGGCTCCAACAATCTTCGTCCTATAACACTCTCCAAACTCAACCTTTGGGGCCGGAATATTTTGGCCAACGTCGGAGAAAGAACATGAGAACCGCATTTCGCCACCCAAACTACGTATGGCTGCTTAACAATACTCAAGCGAATATTACTATACAGGAGAAACGGAATAGACAGATTCTACTACTACTAGGAGGGAACAGCATTGTCTGGCCATAGTCAGAAGGCAACGGCATGGGGAATGGAGGGGCGTGGGAGAGGGCACGTACGAGGACGCCAGCAGCCATGTCCCAGGGCTTGAGACGGAACTCCCAGAAGGCGTCCACCACGCCCAGGGCCACGTGACACATGTCCACCGCTGCTGCTCCCAGCCGCCGCACCCCCTGCCATGGCTCCACACATGGCACAGAGGCACGGCATCACGCAGTTCAGTGCGGGGAGGCGGGATGGAGAAGTGGGGATGCGGAGAGCGCACTGGCCGCACATGACATGGCAGGTACAGACAGCGATGCACACACATGTGATACAACAGGCACACCATAGGCACAGCACAGCACAGCACAGCACAGCACGGCACGGCACGGCACGGCACGGCACGGTACGGCATACCCTGCTGACGTCAGTGAAGTGCTTGAAGAGATCGATGTTAGCGGACCACGCAGCATCGTGCTCGTAGCCAAACCCCGTCACCAGCAGCGACTGCTCCACCTGCCCGCCCACAGCGCCGCAGGGGAAGGGCGCGAGGGAGGCAGGTGAGCAGGGCGCATGTGGTGTGAGGGGGCGAGGGCAGATGAGGCAGGCAGTCAAGGGAAGGGGGAAGTCAGGGATGGAGAGGTGGAGAGAGGGGAGAGGGTGCGCAGAGGGTTGGATTGGATGCTGAGGAGACGGTGATGTGCCGCCTTGGCACATGGAGGGATGCGAGACGAGAGCATGCAGGATGGGGCTTCGTTGAAGGGGGTGTGATGGGACAGTGACTAGGACAGCAGTGGTTGGCACGGCAGACTGGGGGCGGGCAGAGGGCCCATGCAGGAGTGAAAGAACGCCGGGCACGAGTGGCAGTGCGCGAGGGCACACTGTGTAAGTGTGTGTGTGTGTGTGTGGAGTGTGTGTGTGTGTGTGTGTGTGTGTGTGCGTGTGTGCAGCAGCAGTGGCAAGAGTCATGTGAGAATGCAGCACAGGAGAGGGGGCGGTGGGATGGAGGGAGGGTGGGCAGGTGGGGGCGGGCAGAGCACCTTGGCAGTGGCGCTGGCATGGATGGGATGGCCGTTGCAGAAGGCTCCTCCGCCTGACATGGCATGGCATGGCATGGCATGGCAGGCATGGCATGGCAGGCATGGCATGGCAGGCATGGCATGGCAGGCATGGCATGGCAGGCATGGCATGGCATGGCAGGCATGGCATGGCATGGCAGGCATGGCATGGCAGGCATGGCATGGCATGGCATGGCATGGAAAGCATGGTACATGTAGCTCGAGTGGTGACGACACAGGGAGCGGAGCAGATGAGCAGCAAGCATGAAGCAAGGGACTTGCGGGGCGTGGCACGGTGAGGCGTACTACTTGCCAGTGCGTGGGTACAGCCCTGTGAGCATGGCTGCTGGCGCCGCTGGACCGTGGCAAGTCGCGCACGCATGGCATACATGCAGCAGGCAGCAGGCAGGGCGTGGCGGGGCAGCAGCGCACCTGATGAGGCGGTGAAGGTGCGTGTGACCCAGCAGTGCGGCCCCCCTGCAAACTCCACCTGGTAGCATGGCAGGGCAGCATGCAGGCAGGGGGGGAGAGCACATAATAAGCCAGCCACGATGACTGGTGCTAGCAGGTGGCGTGGGCAGGGCAGTGCAGGGCATATGTGGCAGGTGACTGACAGGGCGACGCATGGAATGAGGCAGCGCAGCGATGGGAGCACAGACACATGCTGTGATCCAAGGGGAAGGGCAGGGGGCGGTGATGCACGCATACAGCGGGCCGCTGCTGCCCCGCAGCGAGGATGGTACGACAGGGCGAGGAGGGCGAGTGAGCGCCACAACAGCCTTCTTTACCTTGCCACCCTTGTGCACCTTGCCTCACCTTGCGTCTGCGCAGTCTAGTGGAGGAAGTTCTTATGCGAAGCCAAGAGTTGCGTGCTGCGAGCAGTCAGGTGAATGAACTGCAACACTCCATTCCGGCCAACTGGAAAACCCTATTCCTTGCCACTCCACTGTACCAGGTGGCATGCCAAGGAAGGGGCTGCGCTGTACCACCTCAGCTATGTGGATACTGGCGCTCATAATGCCAAGCGTGAATCATCTTGACGCTATACGCCGCGCCTGACACCTGATGCTTAGCAGATGCCTTCTAGGGCAGACCGGAAAACATCTGGCCGTTTATGCCATGGCAGAGCGTGGCAGCAGGCATCATCAGCACGCGCTGCCACACCACTGCGAGGCAGCAGGCGCGCCTCACACCCCCTTGGCACTGCCGTGACACCAGCCGTGGCAGCCCGCCGCTGCCATGGCCGCACCCCCTCCCCCCCCCCCCCCCCCCCGTGCACAACGCATGCTGCGCCGTGCCTGCACGCCCTGGCCTACCCGCGCAGCACCCTGCCCTCACACGCAGTGCCACTGTGAGCGGCGCACCCCCTCCCCTGCCATGCACCGTCCCTGGCGGATTGCACGCGTGCAATACCTACGTGGTGCTCGCACTGCATTCCGCCCCTCACTCGTGCTGCTGGACCCCAAGTGTGGTGCGCGCGATGGAGCAAGCGAGCGAGGGAGCAGGTGTGGCAAGGACGGAGGACGGGGGCGTGGAGAAGAAGATAATAGGAAAGCGAGGTCTGCATGGAAAGGAGGTGGGGGGAAGCAGATAGGAGGTACAGAGCAACACGGGAACAGGGAGGGCGGGGAGGGCGGGGAGGGCGGGGAGGGCGACTCACGACGCAGGCGGCGACGGGTTTGCCTCGGAAGAGCACGGCGACCGAGGTGGCGAAGGACGGGTACCCGTGGGCGAAGTTGGTCGTGCCGTCTGGGGGGGAAGGGACACGTGGGGGGAAGGGGCAGGTGGGGGGAAGGGGCAGGTGGGGGGGGAGGAGCATGTTGAGGAAGAATGTAGGGGCTATGCGCACAGGTGCAAGCAGGTGCGGAGGGCAGAGGGCGGACGTACCGAGGGGGTCGACACACCAGAGGAAGGGCGAGGCGGAGTCCCCAATGACTCCGCCCTCCTCCCCCAGCAGCAGGTGCGTCGGGAAGCGCCGCAGGATCTCCGCCACCACCGCCTCCTCGCTCTCGCGGTCCGTGCTGCGCGCCGCGCCGCGCACAGGGGGAGGGGGTTTGGGGGGTTATGACTTACACAGAGCAATGACTCTCAAGCTAATACGATGTATCGGGGTTTAGGGCGAGTTCCGGGAAAAGGGGTGCAAGCAGAGCAGGAAATGAGGGACAGAGATGAGGGGGAGGCGTGCGCCGGGCAGGTGCGGGCAGAGCAGGAAATGAACGCGCGGCGGGGTGGGCGCGGCGGCGCTCACTTGGTGACGAGGTCCGTGGCCCCCTTGTACGTGATGTCGCGCGGCTTGTCCAGCGCCGCCATGATCACCTGCGCACGCACACGCGCACGCCGCAACGGGTCAGTGCACCATCGCATCGCGCATGCACACTGCGCGCATCGCATTGCATCGCATATGAACCCCGCCATGCCTCCGCTAATTGCCCTCCTCGCGCAATCCGCGCTCGCTATGACCGGACGCAACTCCCCACATTATCGCGCACCTGCCGCTTACCCCATCGCCGTTTTTCTTTCGCCCCGACCCCGACCCATGCCATTCCCCATTACTCCCCCGACTGACCGCAGCGCCCTTGTTTGCGGCAGCCTCCGCCGCCGCGAGCAGGTCCGCCACGGGCACAGACGGCGCCGCCTCCGCCGCCACTCGTGGTGACGCCGCTGACGCCGTCACGATTGTCGGCATGCGCGCAGATGCGCGGTGAGAGACGAGTGCAATGCGGCGGGACGACACGAGGTCAGGTGCAGAGACGCTAATGTGGGGCAATGCGGCAATAGAGGAGGCGAGACGAGGGAGAGCCAGACGAGACAGGCGCGAGGCCACGACGTTCGAGGAGATCAGCGCCATGTCGACGATGGACACATGATTATGATGAGTTGGGTGAAGGGAAGGTATTTTGTTTTTTAACTGATTAAACTATAAAATAAAACGATGAAAGCAAGCGTTCATGCCGGAGTGGTTAACGGGACAGACTCGAAATCTGTTGGGCTCTGCCCGCGCAGGTTCGAATCCTGCTGAACGCGACTTTTGTTTGCCAGTGCAAGCACACATTCTCTTACAGAATTCGAATTCCTTGTCCGAAGTGACATGTCGACGGATGTCGAGGTAGGTAGGTGAGAATTTCCAGGCCGGCGTTGTGTCCGAAGTAATTCGACATCCAGCCTTGTCAAGGCAAACGACATCCCTCGTGACTTGCACAATGGGGTGACGAAAAAATTCGCGAAATTCGTTCGATTCAAAATTGAGTTTTCAACATTCTCACAAACAGTGCCGGCCGGCATTTTATTGGGAAGTTATGTCGCCGGCAGTGTGTCTGAAGTGCCTCAACATCCATCCGTCATCCCCCGTCATCCATCCGATGACGGATGGATGTCGAAGGGCACTTTGGGGACGCCCTTAGTGTGGTCAGTGTGAAAAATGAGGAATGAAGAAGAGAGGGGTTGCACTAGCAGCAGTTGGCATACATATATGAAACCCTAATTGGGTTGTATTCGCTATAGAGTACCCCACTGCAGGCTAGACAATTATAACATTCTGACACACCCCCATAGCCAAAGTGGGGTGTAATCAGCACAATGAGCAAGCAGGCATAGAGCAGGAGTTCACAATAGGGAGCAAAGCTAGAGTTAATCACAGCGGGCAAGTGAGGAGGAGGAGGAACTGTGGAGGGAGAGAAGATGGGAGGCAACGACTGAAGCTGCAGAGGCACGGGGACAGGAGCGGCTAACTCAGTGGCTACCGAAGCAAGGGCAACGGACTACAGGCGCTGCAGGCGACACGAGAGCTACCTTCACACAACCTCCTCCAGCTGCCCCACACCTCTCGACACACACCCCCTGCTGCACCCTATGTTCAATCACACCCCACCCCCTAGCACCACTCCGTCGACTCCCACACACCCACCCCCCTCAACGGCAGCTGCAGCAGTGGGAGACAGAGGAGGAGGAGGAGCAAGGGAGACCACACACCCGCCACCCCCTACTCGCCACCCCCAAACCCTAACACAGGGCAGGGCGGGATGGCGGGTAGGGAGGTTACGGGGGGGGGGGGGGGGGGAAGGGGGGGCCGCGGCCCCCTCAGGTCGCCTCGACAGGCGACGGGAAAAGAGGGGGGGGTGGTGCACGTGCCCCCGGTGCGCCGCGACAGGCGACGGAGCATGGCCGGGGCGGGGCCGGGGCAGGGTCGAGGCAGGGCCGAAAGGGGCGGCGACGGGGCCGCAAGGGGCGGCGACGGGGCCACTGGAGGCGGCGACGGGGCCGATAGGGGTGGCGACGGACATGCGTCACTGTGGGCGACAATTTTGGAGCAACTGTTGAGAAAAAGACGGCTCGGGAAACTCGCCAGGCGCAAATGGAGTTTTTGCCTCCGAAAATGTTTGTGGCGAGGAGAGACGACACTCGAACCGCCCCTTGTGATGTGGGGTCAACTGCCGTCCCGCCCGACCTGAAGAGCGGCTATACTGCATGGCGGGCACATCATTCAAAATTTCGACAAGAGTGCACGTGGACAGATGGGAACTTTAGACCCGCCGACACTAACGGGTGGCTAAATTGGACTCAAGAGGAGTTGGACGTAGGTGGCGAGGGCAGTTCGAGCCCATACACCTCGAAGAATTCTCGCATGGCACTGCGTACCTGGTGCTGTCGACAACTGGCCAGCCATTTCGAAAGTGGTTTCCATGTAAGGAACACAATTTCGGGGACAGCCTCAACGGCCCACGGTTAAATGGCGTTAACAGTACCACTCCGACATTTACGGAGGAGAGAGGTACAGGCTCCCGGGTCACACTGACAGAAACTCCCCGACGGCTAAGCAAGGGTTGAAGAACGGTGCGAGGAGCAGGTTGAAAGCTGGTGTGATCGATTTGTGACCCTCCGTCACCCGAACATCACCATCCCCACCAAGTTCTAAATCTGACTAATGTAGTCTAATTAGTTGGCCGAAAAACGGGGTTGAACACGAGCCTACCCTGCGTAGGTTAAAAACACATGGATTGGTCCCCGTTCGACAGCTGTACATTAAAAAAAAAGGGGGGGGGGGGGGGGGGTTTGGAGATGCGGCACCGTTTTACTCCGACAAAAGCGGGTTGGGTGAAACATCACGCAAAAATCGGGGCGCCGCAAGGACAACACCGGTGCAGTTTACAGGTTTCTCCTTGCGGAGATTCACTCTACAACAGTAGTGAGCTAGACTACGGGGGTTGGCACTAACTACTTGGAGTGATCGTAGCTTTGCTTAGTTCCTTAGTGCTAGCACATTCACGAGAGAAATCGGCAAGAGATTCCACAAGCAAAGTCGAAATAACAGAATGGTTGAGCAAGAAATGACAACAATGACTACATTAGACACCTAGCAACCCTGCAGCTAGCCTGGTCGACTGCCAGCATAGCTTGGTCTAACAGCATTGCGCCAAGGAGTCGTGCCAGCACTGCAGAAAGGCGGCATGCCAACAGAGCACGTCGACGGCGTGCCAACGCTGCAGCAGAACAGCTATCTAGCGTTACCCCGTAGTGTTAAGAAGTGAGGAATGAATGAACTAGCAAGCAGGTGGGTACAAATAGGAGAACCTAGAAGTATTGTACCCCATATTGTCTACCCCACTACAGCCTACACAGACTATAGCATATGAGTTTGCACACCCCCATAGGCAAAGTGGGGGAGAACAAGAGGTCACAAGACCAGTTAAGCAAAGCAAAGCAAGCTCAGGGTGGATCACAACGTCACCACACAATCCGAGCACAAGAGCAAGGCCAAAAGGCCAGTTCACATGCAAGATCATATATAAAGGTAAACAAGCAAGTGCAGGTATGAAAGATCACAGTACAAGCAAGGTCAAGAAGTGAGCAAATGAGGCCAAGTAGGCACAAGACCTAGCATCGTACAGAAACGCTGATGATCACCAGGCGGAAGTGCCTTGGTAAAGATATCAGCAATGTTGGCCTTAGAGGCCACGTAAGCAAGGCGCAGCTGACCACGCTGCTGTAGTTCACAAGCAAGGAAGTAGCGAAGAACAATGTGCTTCGTTCTGTGCTCCAGTCTGTGCTCCCGACACAAGGCCAGTATGGCCTTGTTGTCTACGTACAGGACTGGAGGAGAACGAGGCGCCTCTCCTAGGTCAGTCAGCAAGTAGGTGAGCCAACGTAACTCGTGTGCAGCCATGGCCCCCGCGTAGATCTCGGCCTCACAACTGGAGCCGAGAACAGAAGACAAGCGGGTAGACCGCCACGAAACAGAGCCGGAGCCAAGGCTGAAGGTGTAACCCTATGACGGCCGCTGCGTAGCGTGGTCGTCAGCCCAAGAAGCGTCTGCGTGACCTGTGAGGACCACTCGACGTCGCCCTCCAAGCACTAGCCCCATGCCCGACGTACTGCACAAGTAGCGCAACACCCTCTTCGCTGCAGCCATGTGCTCTGGTCGGTGTCTCCCAGGAGCAACATAGCGTGCCAAAATGCTAAGAGGGTATGCTACGTCAGGTCATGTGCAGGTCATCAGGTATATGAGGCAGCCAACAAGCTCTGGGTACGGGCCACTCAGCTCTACGGACTCATCCGAAGGCAGAGCTGAGAGCGAGTGGCGAGTAGACAGAGGAGTGGCCTGAGGCAAGGAGTACGTCAAGTCGAAGCGCTGAAGGACCTGCTGCACCATGTGTGACTGAGTCAGGGTAATGGTGCGCTGTGCTCTGTCCCGGGTGATCTGCAAGCCAAGGTAGTTGCACAGTTCACCCAAGTCTGTGCACGTGTGCCTCTTCTGCAGCTCGGACTTCACGTGGGCGAGTCCAGTTGTGTCAGCAGTCGCAAAGACCAAGTCGTCGACGTACACGAGGATGTAGAACGGCGGCTGAGAGGTGTCGGTGCGCAGAAACAGCGACGGGTCGGCTGTAGAAGGAGCAAACCCAAGAGCCGCAAGTGTAGTCCTCAGTGTGTCGTGCCACTCACGGGGCGCCTGGCGGAGACCGTAGACTGGCCGTCGGAGGCTCCACTGGGTACCAGGAGGAAACGACCCAGTGAAGACAGGAGGGCGGCGCAACCAGATCTCCTCGTGCAGGCTGCCCTGCAAGAAAGCTGTGCTGAAGTCAAGAGAGTGAAGCTCGTAGTCGCGCTGAGCGGCTATGTGCAGCAGCACCCAAAGAGTGGTCATCTTCGGGGTGGGAGAGAAGGTCTGAAAGTAGTCAGCTCCTTGTCGCTGACTAAAGCCTCGAGCGACGTAACGCGCCTTGAAGACAGGCGGAGAACCCGGCGGCCGCTTCACCCTGAAAATCCACATGCCACTGACGAAGTTCGCCCCAGGTGGGGGAACCTCGTCAACGTAGGTGCCTGTTGTTGATTGTGTAGGTGGTTGTGGTATTTTGCTCTAGCTGGTTGTGGGCTAAGGGTTTGGGCAAAATGTGGTGGTTAGACTTGTTGCGGGCTGGTATTGATCTCGCACCCAACAAGCACCAACAAACCTTTGCTATTCACTACAACACCTTTGGTGTTGCTAGTTTAGCACTTTGGGTTGTTGGGGATTGTTGTAGGGCGAGGTTTGGGTTGGTAGGGTTTGAACAACTCGTCACTTTTCAGATCTGAACTCTTGCTAAAGCCACTTTCTTGAACTAATCCATGGCTGCCTAGTAATTCCGCCAGGATACACCGTCGCACTTAGATCGCGATAGCGATCGGCCTAGATCTTTGTTGAAAGCGTGCGTTACTATTTTGGAAAGTAGAGTTTAAGACCTTTCTAACGCGTACCTGCTCATAGTTTAAGGTTACGTGAGCTGTACGCAATGTTCCGTCGAAGTTGGCGGACTTAATCTCTTGTACGCTCTCCAGATTCACTCGCTTTCCATCAGTGGTATCAGAGCGGGTTAGGCCTGCGACATTCCCTCTTTTCATCATATTTCGAATTTGTTGAAGGACCTCCAGATCTAGGGTTGGTCATGGCCCAGAAATTAGATGGCCCTCCTAGGTTCA